ACACTCATCACTTCTCTTTGTTTTTTTAACTCAAAAGGAACTAATACTTAGTCCATGATTTCTCTACCCTTTGCATTCGTTCGACTTTGCTTCTCATAAGCTAGAAAGCTTCGTCGTAGTTTATAACTAGACTCTGCGCGTAGGGTATGATTTCCCATGATTATTATATAAAGAGGATGTTTGGCTTCGTCAGTGTATTTCTTCTGACTTAAAGGAATCTTCCTTGCCAGACCATCTCTCTCCTAATATGGTAGCTATAACCATACATATACTTTCCATGTTTAGCAAAACATGGACAAATGTTTTGATATGGTCAATATTGATAACTTAAAAATATAGTGCTCAATCCCAGTAAGCTGCCATCTTTTAAGATTTCACTCAGGAAGTGATGTCATCGACTCCCAACTTTGCATATAGCATTAGGTAAAGAGCTATTGGAATTACAAAACCAGTAGAATATTTTTTTCAATTTGTTCTATGATTTAAATCCTTCTGGTGATCTCTTCTTTAATTCTGGGTTGACAAGCCCTGAAAATATTTTTGCACAGAAGATAAGGGATTCTTGTCAAGAAGTAATTTTGTGCTTCTTTCCTATACTGTAATAGACAAGGTTATAACAGGTGAGAGTCGATGACATCACTTCCTTAATGAAGTTTTAAAAGATGGCAGCTTACTGGAAATGAGTAATACAATTTTGAATTAACAATATTGACCATTTCAAATTTTTTTTTTCGTGTTTTGCTAAATATGGAGAGTATATATATGATTATAGCTACCATATAAGGAGATAAATAGTCTGGAAAGGAATATTCCTTTAAGTTGTATTGAGATGCGTGAAAATCCACGATGTTTCATTAACTATTACATCTGCGGACTTATACTGATGGCATAATGTTGCTAAACGATTTTAAGTTGTTATTATAGTGGCTCATCGTCGTTAACATCCGACCGCGGCAGATCTATTAAAAATATGCTTCTTTTAAAGGCTAATTGAGAAGTGTGGCTATCCATGTGCTATTTTGTTTAGCTTCTTAAAGGATCAATGCGATGACGACATGACGATAAAATGGCCAAAGGGAAAAACTCAATAGGAAAAGGAACGGAACGAAGGCCCAATCGACTACAATAAACAAACCATGATATTCAAACTAATGACCATTTAGTAAAAGCATTTATAAAAAATCCTGATCCTGAAGTCCTGATGATGTCCTTCATTTTACACAAACTGTTAAACCAGACTTAATTGTTGGAGTTAGCCACGATATTTCGAATGACTTTTTAACCAATATACCACGATGACTTACTGAATCTGAAATGCCATGTACTATGACCTTGGCGTTACTATATAACATCTTTGAGTTGAGATTTGAAATTGATAAAGTAAGACCGTATATCCTGGTAATTTCACTAAGAAACTCGTAATTTAGACTCGGGGGACTAATGAAAAAACAATCGAAATCGGTCTGTCTTTGAGGTTGAATTAAACTGATGCTACACTAGCAATGTCTATTTACTCCAAGTTCAATTGTCCATGAACTACCATCATGATATACCATGACATCTCATTTCTTGTCAGCCCTGAGATGCCATGATATAATGAGGTTGATTTGGCGATCCAGGAGAGCCCAAAATTGAGGATTTTTGAGATCCCAGCTCATATTTCATTTAAACCTGCACATCGCTCCAAAACGCAATCTTGGGTTGTTTCGGGGGTGAACGTTATCATTTTGAGCTTAATGTAAGATTATAGAATGATGAACAAATGGGGCAAATCTTGTGTAGAAATACTTACGATAAATGTGTCATTTCAAAGATTATTCATTGAATTGCTTCGATCGGCGCCGACGATATTATTTTGAAAAGGTTTCTAAATGAAGAACGTGACGTCACTTCCGAATCATAGCATTCAAATTAAGTAGCGTTTAATTACCTCCACCATTCATAATAAAACGGTAGTCTAGCGGTACAATTCTCGCTTAGCACGCGGGAGGCCCGGGTTCGAATCCCGCATTCGCCTTTTTATTTTTTTTAACGAAATGATTGTTCTTTGATATAACGCAGAAAAAACAATTTTTATTTACATAAACTTTATATTAGAGCTTAAAAATGTAAAAACAATATATGTCAACATATTGCGTTTTGGAGCGATGTGCAGGTTTAATTGGGGTCATTAAACTTGTGTACACGTACCTGTGCTAATATCTGCTGTTAAATACAATGCCTATTATGTAATGTATTGACATTAGGTAAATGATTACATGATAACTATCACACTTATTGACAGTTATAACTCTTCCCATCTGATGTGCTCGGATCACAGAATATGCCTCATAATATCAGAGCATGTTTCAGGTGAAACAGAAAGATGCTATGAGTATCAGAATGATGAACTACAGGTAAAGTCATGCAAAAATGAAACAACTAAATGGTCTAACCGCCCAATGTCTTCTGATTCCTTCTCCAGGCCATACTGCACAAAGTACTCTTAATATTTTCTTACTATGATTTGTTTCCCTCGTGCCGTGCCTGGTCGTGCTCTCGTGTTATTTTGCATTTGTGTTTTGCAATATGTTTTGGTCTCACATACTAATATCGTGCTAGAAACACCATGTTTTTATGCGTGATGCCTTCGTATATTCTTCGTAAACACCGTGATACCCCACGCCTCAAGGCGACAAATCCGTGCCAAGTTGTCCAAAGAATGCATGAACGGGATTGGAAATAAGATTGGAAAAACACATAGCAACCTTGTATTCTTGAAAAAAGTACTAGTATTAAGTAACAATATTACATTGAGAAGAAATAAATACTTTAAGACAAGTTCCAACAGTAAACACCAAACAAAAAGAATCAAAAACACAAACAGAAAGGGGATCATATTAGAGTAGAATCGGGCGTAAGGATAAAACCCATCTTGATCCATCAAGGTATTTCACTGAAGGACTACACTGGTTTAACAGTATGGATACAACCCCCAATATTCTTATGACTTAACGAACTAAAACCCATATTGGTCCATCAAGGTATTTCACTGAAGGACTACACTGGTTCAACAGTATGGATACAACCCCCAATATTCTCATGACTTAACGAACTAAAGGAACAGTGCCTATCAGTCCTACACTACTTCTCCATCCAGATAGATATATATGTTATTACGTGAATACCTTTGTGCGAATGTCCGTTCTTGATTACCCTTTGCATTCGTTTGACTTCACTTCTTAAAAGAGAGCTTCGTCATAGTTTAACTAGACTCTGCACGCAGGGTAGTTCTTGATGAGTCTTCAAGTCGAATTTATCAATATAATTGCCAATAGTAATACCTCCATGGTTCAGGTCTGAGTTTTTATTATAACATTATCGCTATTATCGTTTTTATCGCTAATTTTGATAAAAGTGATATTCTGCACCTAATTAAGTGAAATTGAATGGACTCAGCTTTTGCCCTTGTTTCAGGCAAGTAACAGCAATTGCCTTGGCATAGTCCCGTGCTTAAATCCTTGAATTAATAACAATTTATTACGTTTAATAAAGAATGGATAAGCATATGATTAGTACCACAAGTACATTAATTTGTGAAATATTAGTGCCAATAGTGCCTTGTTCATTTTATGCACTGTCTGGCAGGATTTCCGGTATTTGATGGTATAAAACGATTACATTCATGAAACTGATCAGTATTCAACGGTAGATCCAAACTCCAGATAGATATTTAAACTGTATGGTAAGTGGATTTCACCCATCATGATTGATTGTGCTTCTGCACACATTTCAAGGTACACTCCCCTCCAAAAGTTTAGCAAATAGAAGTTTTCATTTGATAGCGTATCAAATAAAGCCTGGCGATGTTTGAATCCTTATTTTGTTCCTGAATAACAAGAGTTCTGAAAATGAGAAATTTGATCGATTTCGCCAAATCTAAACAGATGTTGTTTGATAATATGTCATACAAAAAGCAGCGTCCGGTTGCCAAACTTTTGGCGGGAAGTGTAAAAGTAAGGCCATCAGTACTGAGGAAACATTATGATGGAAGCTTTCTCGCCGTAAAAAACACATCATAGGAAACAAGTCCCATCGAGTCCTTCGATCGCGATGAGCACGGAAGTCTTTCAAGTTTTATCCTGACTGTTTGGAATCGTTTTGATACAATTGAAGGTTGTTAGAAAATAGCGTGTATACCTCAATTAGATAAGTCATGTCATCAATTATTCCGTTTACTACTTCAATACTATGTCGTGACTGGTAATACTGCTATTAGTTAAAACAATATTTTCCATTGATATTAATACACGCGTCATTTACATTAATTTCGGAGTTGTAATTAGACTAAATGTTTATTTTATGACAATTCAGGTTTGCGGTAATGGAATAAAACTCGCCAATTGTTTGCCAACAATTGTTCTTTCAGCTTTTTTTTTTCACTTTGATGTTACATTTAATTCCCTTTGGGATTCATGCCAACCTTGCACTCTATACATCGACACGTCTCTAATTTCACAAAAATAATGATTGCAAATGGACAATCGGGCACAACGCAGAAATTAGGAGGAGGTTAACCTGGACGTTTAAAAGAGAACGTACGTGTACGTATACGTGAACGCTTATCAATCTAACCCCATTGATTACCGCCCCCCCCCCTCTCAATTGTTTTTTGACCTAATTACAACTACTTTTATTTATACTAAATGGGACAAGTCTCTAAATATTACCTAGTTTAGAATTAATTCATGGAATACCATAGTTCTACTCACTCACGTTCAAGCTTTCTTAAAACCTACAGGTAAACCTCCTATTGTATTATACAATATAAAATTGTATACAATATAAGATTGTATACAATATATTATATAAAAACAATTGAAGTTGTGTTAAAAAAGTATGTGTATAATCGATAAGATAATTGTATACAATACAAGATTGTATAAAATATATAATATAAAAACAACTGAAGTTGTGTTAAAAAAGTATGTGTACAATCGATAAGATAATTGTTTTCTTACCTGTAACTAGACTACATCCATATAATAATAGCCATAGGGCAAATGCTGAGCACAATCTCTCCCCAAGATACATTCTTTTATATTTCTAACTCTTCTTTTTGCGCAAAACTATATTATGGGCAGGAATTATAGTATTGCGAGTTCTTATATAATCCGGAGTTCGTCTTCGTCTCTATTGGTCGAAATATAATAGCATTTAAAACGTCTGACCTACGTAAATAAGTTAATGTGTGATTTGGTTCAGCGTTAGTAAACTCGCGCCTTGACTGTCGCCTGTTGGCCGTTGCGCAAATCAGGATATGACGGATGCTTGATGTTAATCACTGCAAATGGTAGTCCTATAGAATTTCAGATCAAATGATAATTTGAATAAATTTTACTCAACAATAAATACATATGTAATTATAGTGCTTAACGTCTGAATGAATAATTATCGCTTGAAACTATCCACACTCTAATCTGTTATGATATGAATATTTTATATCGCAAAATAAGTCAATCTCGTCGTCGTGCTAACGCGCAATAATATTAGCAGTCTCCCACGCCTGAACTACCAGACTAGTGTAGTATTTTTTTTAATAATACTGAGTAAAGCTGATGGTGCTGATGGTGCCTCTTGATTAAGTCCAGCCTATTTTAAGCCCAACCAATAAGGTGCAGGGAGATGAAGCGTTACGTTTGCTATTTTGGAATAACTCGTTTTGAATCAGATCTGGGTGGGCGACGCTCCCTCCTGATTCATGATCTTAATTCATCCTCCTTGTCTTTTTCTTGTAAAAAGAAGTTTGCCATTCTTCAAATGAATTATTCACAACGTGTCATAGTGCGTCATTTCACCGGGAATTGAAATTGAATGTTTCAATTGACTTATCGCGACGAAGTTTTATTGGCTTTTGATTTTAAGATCCAAGGAGTGAGACTTCCTCGTCGTAAATAATTATGTTTTATCCGGAAGTATTTTTTATCAACATTTTTTACAGAGTGTGACAATAACTTTGTTACTTTTTGAAGCTGCCTTATATTCATATGAAAATACAGTACCACACAAAATCATAAATACGTTGTTACTGTGATTACTGTTTGTTGTTTATATATCGGACATAGTTACTTTTTGAGTGCCTTATTAAATTTTGCGTGTATTTTATCACCATGTTCAGAAATGTTTGTTGTTTAGTTACTGTTGTTATGTTATATTTCAAAGATATTACGTCATAAGTTCTCTTGTGACGTTTCGAAAGAAAGAAGTCACGTGTAGTTTGTTTTAGAGGTCACGTCATAACAACATTAAACATTTCGATGACGTCATAGGCCCTATTGCTATGAACCGTAACTCCCAAGGAGATATAAACATAAACAAAAGAGACTTTCAATCGTAAAGACGGTGCATGAAAAGAAGGCGAAAGAATTATGGCATATCTTGACAAAGTAATGAAATTCTCTACTAATATGATACAAGGGATTGCGGAACAATGGTTCATCCAAAGAGAAAGAAAAATGTCAGTGGAAGAGACTTTAGAAAGAAAAGAAAGAGGTAATGAATATGTGAAATATGATCTATTCATATGTAAAACACTGCATAAATATTTAACAAATTGCATCACTTTTTAGTTGTGAATGCCAAGGAGGATTGGAAGCCAGGGTTCCAACTCGATATTCTTTAATCTCCACGCATGCGTCATTTGCTATTCGTGTCTGTATAATTTGTACGACTGCATGGAGAATGACCCGATACTCTCCAACAAAGCTATCGCTAGGTGATTGTTTTGCAGAATATCGGTGTTGCATTCTGGGAGCCAATCCTCCTTGTGTGAATGCTAAATCATTGCTTATTTTTTATTTCCAGAGGAGATCGTCATTGACGAGACGGAAACCATCTCCAACGAGATGGACATCATCTCCAACAATCAGGAAGTTCAAAAACTTCAAGAATCGAGCGAGAACAGTAGACAAGACATCCATAACTTAAAACGAATTGTCGTAAAATACAGAAAAGAGAAACGCGTTCTAGATGGATTCATCAGTGTCGTAAGCTGTCGTATCAGACACCAAATACTGGAACGTGGACTTTGCTATTGCGACATATGCCAGGATAAGTCACCAGTGAATCATTTGTCAACGTACAAGAGAGGTTCATTCTACAGTCCTACAATACAAGAAGTGCGATAAAACAAACAATATTTTTCCTATTGTTGTAGTGAAAAGACAACTGTTTGTGTGACTTTTAATGCTTGATTTCAATTCCTCTCTTTTTGTTTATTAATTTATTTAATTGATGTATGGATGATTAAATTTGTTTTAATAATACATATTGTATTTCTTGTTTTTAAAAAATCATTATATAATTGACTGAGGTTGCCCAATTGACCCTTTTCCATATAAATGGAAAATAGATGGCATCATGGGTATTGGTAGGTCTAAATAACATGCCAACTCAATGGCAAGAGTTATTTAATTTCTTGATTTCACCATTGAAATGTAACTATATGATACTATTGACATGTGGATTGTGATTGCACATAAAAATTGTGATCCTTACAAGAGTAAATGAACTTTTAAAGGTTTTTCAACATTGTGTCACGAATTGGGAACTTCTCAAATAAATATGCACAAGGGTGTTCAATTTTGAAAATAATATTCCTGGGAAAAAGTAAAAAAAGAAAAAGTAATACTAGTATACTAGTAATACTAGTAATACAATAATACTAGTATAATACTTGTACATTAAGAGAATCTCCATTTTTAACGTCTTAAAGCTTTGAAAAGATTACATTTTAGTTCTATTATAAAATTAGTTCTATTCAAAAATAGAATTTAATAATTATTTTGTAAAAAATCGGCAAGATTTAAGCAGACTTTAAAACTTTCTGGAATACTAGACCAATATTGATCTCTTTACATAAATTGTATTACAACTAATCAATGCCTATGAAAGAGGTATATCCAAAATTGTAAAAGAACACTCACAAATTTGCCCACCTGGGTTCCCGCTTACTGCTAATAGTCAATTGTACTTTTAGTGGGTGACAATATCCAGCTTGAACATTAACCGGTTAACTGAGGGTTTTAACCGGTTAAAGTCGGTTAACCAACGGGAAGTATAACTAGATGATTTCAAATGAATGATTTACTTTGGAAGCTGTGATGAAGTATGTATTTGACAATCTTCAGCTGAGTCGTAATGAACTGTAACTCGATAAGTTATTCTACTGATAGAGCGATCCAGATTGCAGGTCTGATCGCCCTGATATCATGATTTGTAGTAGAGTAGTTGTTTAATTCATGTATGTTGAGGCGTGAAGATAGTGCCCACTTTGTAACATTTTTAAAATTTCTTATAGTAAAATAGACTTAATTCGGGAACAAACGCTTTTGAAAGAGGGGGGAATGTAACGATTTGTATTTTTACCATCCCTTATCATATTTTATGTGGAAAAATAAGTTCCAAAACATTCTTCTAGTAGGCTACAAGTCACGCTATTTTAGTATTTACCTTCTCTGCAATATATTGGTCATTTTCAACCTTAGAAAAAATTTATATCGACAAAACCTTTTCATTTTCATGATATTATTCACAGCATTAAAAATTAATAGATTAAAATTAAATTTGAGAAAAGACAGCCAGAGATGTATTATGGTTCTCAAGTGACTACCCAAGGTACTACTAGTACTAGTATACAGGGTGTCAATTGCGTTGTGCCCCCTCCCCATGCACAGCATTCTCTGGCAAGTCTCTAAATTGCATTGCATTGTTTTGTATTGTATACCTTTATTGCCAATATCGAAATTGAAACACAAGTTATTTTTACAGCATAAGATATAAATAATCATTTATTGCCTCTAAGTGTCTGATGCGTCACCAGATTTCTGTCAAGTCTCTAAGTATATGTATCTCATGTCTCTAAATGTCTGTAAAGTCTCAAAATGCTCGACCATCCTGTAGGTGTCTGACCATCCTACGTATAAGTGACAAATCTCTTCATCACTTAAACAATAGAAACTTTCATCGAGTGACAGTCGTTTAATTATCACCTTGTTTCCCAATTACTACAAATTGCAAACTACAAACAGTCCATTGAAAACAATTAAAACATTAAAGATCCTTAAGCAGATTCATTGAGCGCCAATCCCCACGACATTAGTCTCCATTAACCAAAGCAGATCTAAAGTGCATGTTCTTTCTGGCTTGATCAATTTTCGATTAAAATACTATAAGCACTGGGAGAAAATCGGCATTGCAAACAAAACTTGAAGATTGTTCAAAGATAATAACACTAGACATGAAAGACTAAAATATCCGATTGCTACGTTGCTACTGTGTGTATAACCGAGTAGGGACTTATTTAAAATTTGTTTCGTGTCAAGTTTTGAAGTCTCTACACGACAGCTGTCAGAAGATGCAAATATACCATATTAGATGTTTTTGATCTTTTTCGATTGCTATGTTGTTTTACCTCATTGAGATATGTCATATGGGAATTGATATCTGTTTAATGATGGTGGCAGAGAGACAATCAACATCGAAAGCTACCTTCACGTGAATGTTTTGATTAAACTAAAACTAGTATTGTCACAACACATGAATCTGACGATTTTGTTCTTATGACACACTTCTGCTGTACTGAGGAACAATATTATGTTCTCGCACCACACCACACTACTCGTGAACAATATTATGTTCCCACACCACCACTACTCGTGAACAATATTGTGTTCTCACACCACACCACACTACTCGTGAACAATATTATGTTCTAACACCACACCACACTACTCGTGAACAATATTATGTTCCCACATTACTCGTGAACAATATTATGTTCCCACACCACACCACACTACTCGTGAACAATATTATGTTCCCACACCGCACCACACTACTCGTGAACAATATTTTGTTCCCACACAACACCACACTACTCGTGAACAATATTATGTTCCCACACCGCACCACACTACTCGTGAACAATATTATGTTCTAACACCACACCACACTACTCGTGAACAATATTATGTTCCCACATTACTCGTGAACAATATTATGTTCCCACACCACACCACACTACTCGTGAACAATATTATGTTCCCACACCGCACCACACTACTCGTGAACAATATTATGTTCTAACACCACACCACACTACTCGTGAACAATATTATGTTCCCACACCACACCACACTACTCGTGAACAATATTATGTTCCCACACCGCACCACACTACTCGTGAACAATATTATGTTCCCACATTACTCGTGAACAATATTATGTTCCCACACCACACCACACTACTCGTGAACAATATTATGTTCCCACACCGCACCACACTACTCGTGAACAATATTATGTTTTCACACCACTTCTCACTACTCGGGAACAAAGTTATGTTCTTATACATAGGCGTAGCCAGGGGGATGTGATTGCTGCGAACGCACCCCATTAGATAGATTCTTTTTATTTAAAGCGTCTAGCTCAATTTTGTAGGAAGTTATCAATTTTTGTAAAATTCAAAAAAAAATCTTAACAAAGTTATGTTCTTATACATAGGCGTAGCCAGGGGGATGTGATTGCTGCGAACGCACCCCATTAGATAGATTCTTTTTATTTAAAGCGTCTAGCTCAATTTTGTAGGAAGTTATCAATTTTTGTAAAATTCAAAAAAAAATCTTAAAAAACTGTTTTTGGAAAGCTAATGCCATGATCGCAATCCCTGACTAAAAACCGATTTTTTGAAGATCGCACTCCTCCTGCTACGCCCATGCTATATCACACCACACTACTCAGGAAAAAGTTACACTATCGACGACCTTTACTGATGTAAAACTATCAGGCCAAGTGGCATATGCCGCTGAGTACCACAAAGTAGCTGCTTGACTGAATTCCTTAAGTCTTAGACAAACACCTTAATTGTTTTAAAGGAATGGAAATGACATAAAAACGGACACAACTGTCGCAATATTTTCTATTAATATCTGATATTTATTCCCAGCTCAATTATGACACAATGGTAATTACAGCTTAATATCGTACAAGATACACCGTGTATATCAAGGGAGATACGCCATGTCTAAATCAATTATAGACAGTGGGGATGAATCCATCATGATTTCCGATGTACGATTAGGACGTTAAGAACAAGATTGGCAAAATACAATTTCGTTAAAAGTGCTTTGTATTGGTAAGGGAAGCGTTTAAACAGACGTATGACGTAATTAGTAGTCTCTTATCAGATAGTGAACTATTGAGACGTTGACTAATTAGTACTCTATCAAAAAGAATTACTTATCAATGTCGAAACTATAGGCTGGCGAAAATATCCCACGTTTCTATAATCATCGGGTATTCAAGGAATAAAATATGCGGGTAAAATTCAAAAAGCAAGTATTACCCATGCCATTTCATTTACAATATCGCTTTATTCATCTTTGTAAGCCATGGATGCTCGTTTGAGACTCCAGATTTCGATTGTGGTAGACTTTCTTGAACGGTTGTAGTGACTTTATAATACACATGCAGAGCAGAATTACAATATCTGAATAATTAATAGTTCCAACGAATGAATTATTGTGTGACTTATACCTAATATGGAGAAAATAAAATAGATAATGAATAAGCGAAACATATAATTAGTACCGATGGTGTGCCAATGTGCAATTAGTACCATTAGTGTACTGTGTAGTATAAACTACTATCTAATTGGATAGTTCAACGCATTTCTGATTGCTACAAATTTACGTTCTGGTACGTGATCGCTTGAAACGATTAAAGTTCTGGGATTAATCAGTATTCAACAGCAGATCCCAACTCCAGATAGATATATTTAACTCTATGGTAAGTGGATTACATTCGCCTTGATTGACTGTGCATTTGCAAACATTTAAAAGTAAAAGTATGGTCATTAGTATTAACGATTCAGTATAGAAGCCTTTTCGGTCTTCTTGTCGAGTTGTTTGATCACGAAAGTCTCAACCTCAGTTTCGAAATCGTTTGGATACAATTTAAGATTGTTCAGCGGCAAAGCAGAGGTGAAGCAGATGAAGCTTAGGGAGGTATATAATTACCTTTGAAGGGCCTTTGGACTGCCTCCTACGATCTTACTTGAAAAACGTCTAAAAAGTATAATTCTGTAAAACTAAAGGCACTTTACTTGCCTTGCCTTCCTCATGCCTGCTAGTACGCGCATGTCGTTTAAAAAAAAGTGTTTTGTCTTATTCGGATTGTTGGCCATATCATTAGTCTTGTTTTAAGTCTTTGTACCTCCCCCCACCCTACCTACTTTACCACTTCTTGTGGTGATGGTGTATGTTATTGGGGTTCACAAGGGCATGTAGCTAGACAACCATATATCATAATCATTATACCATAATACACACCATTACTACCTGATAACATGTCGTGACTGTAAAAATCACTTTTAGTTAAAACAATTTTTTCCATTGATATATAGACACGCGTCATTTCCATTAA